GCCACTCGCAGCAACCAGTTGGTGACCGGCAGCAGTGTGGAGACAGTTATCCAGTGATTCTGATAAGGAAACTCCGCCCAGATAGTGCTGAGATATACTTGGGAATCCGGTCAGGCTATCAGGAAGGGGTATTATTCTCATTTCGAAATTAGCGATGTGACAATCGTCGAGTAAATGATGTCAGGTCCAAAGACTAGCCCGTAATTTCAAAGAAGTTATACGTCATTGTAATACGCTCTTGCCGAGATTTCCCATAGATGAGTATAGGAAAAATAAAGCTTCTACTAGTGAAGGTGTATAAAGGCATCAATATGACGATATGTCCTGAATTTCTCGAAATTTGAATGTTGAATCAATTCGCAATCTACGAAGTTGATTTTTTAATTTGCTGTCACATATTACAGAATGTTAAGCATCAATATTCGGAGAGAGAAAAATAGCGAGCTACGAATAAACAAGTAATAAATAAAAGCTGAATGGAATACGTGATATTTAAAAAGATATTTTTTTTCCGTCAAATTCTTAATGATCCTATTCAATTACCATCGCTTTGAAATTAAACAACGTAAAGTGAATAATATTGTTTCACGGTGTGTAAACATTTCGATCGTTATAACACCAGTTCTGGCTTTCCACATAAGACGGATCTATTTGATTGAACAGTGGCTGTTGATAACTCTTCGGCTTTCGTATTTATTTTACATTTACTGACTTTTTATATTGTTATAAAAATGTTTATATAATTTTAAAATTATTAGTATTATATACATGGTAATTTGGAGCACACACACACACACACACACACACACACACACACACGCGCACACACACACACACACATACAATTTATCAAACATAAAAATCTTGAAAAAATAATATAGTGGGATGATAAGAGATAAAGTAATTCAATGGTATTTGTAAAAAAACTATCTATGCGATATTGAGCGAATAATACGATAATTTCATGATAAAAGTGATAATGTTTTCTTGTTTAAGAAGTCATTTGTGCGCAGAAATGATAGTGATTCAAAGTATAATCAGATCGTCCATCGTATGTCGATTACATTCATCAGTCTACATCGCGCGCGTGCACGCACACACACTAAATATACGTCTTTGATTATACGAATTATTTATAGATAGCTAGTGTTAGTCCATTGGAAATCATTATAATACTTTTGCAATAATAGGTTTGACGTACAGATGCGAATGCAGAATTGCCTTGTACAACCATACACGTGGGCACAGCAGTGGCATTTATGATTAGTTCCGAAGAAGGGAGAGATTTGCATGCTATGATGTGTCGCATTAGAAATATGCTTTGTACTTGTTGTTTTCAACTTGTACAAATTCTTCGTTTCGTCGTATTTGTCGATAATATATTAATCTTTAAATTTTATCTTACATTTATAATTAATAAGTATTAATTTTGTTAGTATTAGTGTTGCATATCTATTTCGTTATAATGAAAATTTTAAAAACATTAAAATAATTTTGCACAATAATTATTTAATTATTTAATTATGTAATAAAATTAATATTACTTCCTTTATTTGAGAGTCTATTGAAACTCTAATAGGAGTTTTGCTCAAATGTAATGGCCATTGTTGAGAATAAACGTAGCCTGTTAGGAAATAATTCTATGCAGTAATACTGTTCAAACAATTGATCCCAATAGAATCTTGGTTACCGCTTTAACGCATGTGGAGTGACAAGTAGCGCATATATCATAAATAATTAATTAATTACGCGAATGAATATTGCATATATTACATTTATAGTCACACTCCCAGGAGAGTACAATCAATTTGTTTAACCGTGCGTTATATACCCAGAAAATCTATGTGCTACATATTTATGAGCTTAATTAGTAATTAACTATTGAATTACTTTTTAATACCTGTACAATTGAACTGTTACGAAGAATGGTTAGAAAAAATTCTTGAAAGAAATACATTTTATTCATTATATCATTGATTTTTTGAATATGTTATACATAGAATAATTAATATAATCTCTAAATATCCTCAATATAATAACACCAATATAGTCTTTCCATTCATTTTATTACATTTTATTTTACATTCTTATGTCTCCAAGAATTTGACTCTAGGAACGTATTATGGAACTGTGAATGGATTCTGATCAGAATTGTTCACTCATTTCCTAGATTTCTATTATTTTCTAAGGAAATCAAAATAATTTCACTTGGTATCCATTCCAAACAGTTCGATAATATACGTACCTAGAATTGAATTCTGATTGAAGATATAAAAACGTAACGATGTCAAACGAATCCAAATATTCCATAATACGTGTCCTCTATTTAAAAAATTAAATTAATATATGCATATTATCATGATAAAATCGATATTAAATCGATTGAAGAATTTGGCATCTTCAAAAGAGTTTATTCAATTTTTTTCCTCATTGTTAAGCATTCGCTCATTTAAATACAAATGTAAATCTCTAAATCTCTACAGCGTGAGCGTGATCGCATTTTTATGATGACGACCGGCGGTGAAATCCGCTGAGAACCAGAGATAGCGAGTTAATACTAATTTGAAGGCACAGACACTTTCACACGCGCCAGATAAAAGTGAAAAAAAGTACTCAAAGCGTAATAATATTGCGTATTATCACGAGTTTCGTTATCAAGTAATGGAAGATAGTTCTGTCAATTGAAGAAATGATCTGTTATCATTGTTGCGATGCTTGATGAGAGACACGACACGCAGTCTAGCAGAGAATCTGAATAATGCAAACTTTCGCATATGCAGCATTGTCGCGGTATACAATGTGCGTCGGAGTTACGTTCGTATCTTTCTAACTATTAGATACATACAATACGCGATTTTTCTTCTGATTTTTTCATCCAAAGAAATAGTCACATTTTGCGTCATTATACTATTTGCATCACATTTAGTGCTTATGTTTGCGCGTGTCGGAAAATGAGGAAAGAAATCTGTAACTATAAATATATAGAGCATTTCTGTATTATTTGACAAAACATTTAATAATATGTTATATAAGATATTTTTATTAAAGAGAATTTTAAATCGTGAAAAGTTCACTTTCATAGTTAAATCGAAACTTAATTTCGACTTAAAATTTTAATTTTTAATATTAATATGTTCCCAATAAGTTTCTTAGTGAAAGTTTTGTTAGGTCAGATCCAAAAACCAGATTTAACTACCCATAACCAGCATTTAACTCAAGAAAATTGTTCATGTGTTAAAAAACACATTGAAAATAATTAAACTACATAAAATTTCCATTAAAAGGAAATTAATTAATTCTTAAATATTTATCTACCATGACTTACGCAACGTACATGAAGCGAGTTTTCATTCTTTACAGCTCCCCTTGCGTTAAACTGCTCTCAATTAACGTCTGTTTAGATACCGCGAGTCTTTTTAGAACCAATCAGTACGCACTAAAGACTCGTAAATAGTATCCTGTCACCGACGTCTCATCATTTTCCTCGTTATCTCTCGATTCGTCCTTGTTGTCTAGTAAATTAGACAGTATAGGACCAGCGTACGTTAAATCAAACGTACATGAGTCCAATTTAATGTATATCTCGTACAAGCACGTGACGAAATGATAATGCCCGATTGTCAGCCTCATTATAGTGACACGTAAGTCGATCAGTTAAAACCGGTAGAATCTTTCGATAACTGGTATACGTGACTCATAATATATGGCGAACAACTCTATATCACGCATCATTTATTCAGGAATATTCTCGTTTTGAATAATCTATGAATCAGTGAATGTATCCTTCCTCTCTCTTTCTATATAATAACAAAAAAATATCACGATACAAATTATTTATTCTGTTTTACATATAACTGTCTAGAATATATAAATTCATATGCTTAATAGCAAATATTTGTTACACATCTATTAGTTTATTTACATATTTAAATTAATACGCTGAAAAAGCAGAATTCTGCTGATAGCAGAAATATCTAATTTATTTATTATTTTATGTTTTTAAACTTTATTATTTTATGTTATTAAACTAATTTATTATTAATTTATTATTGCACTCTAATTACCATACCTGTTTTATTATACATTCTTACGTATTTAAAGTAATGCAAATTTTGTAACATGATACTAATAGATTAAATTGAGTGCGACAATTTCATATCTATTCTATTATATGATAGACCCTCTCAATTGAATTTTCAAAGATATACTTCAAATGCTGCATGGAATCTAGCCTGAACTCAATTTGAAGTACACTCTGATCTAATATCGTTATTTCTCATATATTTTTTATATTTAATTATCCAATTTTTATTGTATTAAACAATAGGTCTAAAAGTAGAATATCAATATACTTTTTAATGTTGTTTAGTGACTAATTGTTTTCATGAAGCTAATTTAAAATAATAAAAACTATTGCGATATTTCGAATACTATTACTTTAGTAACTATTATGATTAAATCGATAATAAATTAATAATTTATAATAATTATCTAATAATATGCTTACCTAGATAGCACAGGTGATCATTACAAATGTAGGGGTTTATTTTACTAAATTCTTTGAATTAATGTAATGGATTCGAAATAAATTGTTTGTAAATATGATTTTACACGAGAAATAAAACTCCACTGTGTCTAATGGCGTACTACTTGTGACTCTATAGCATTTTTTTAATCCATTATAAATAAATTAAGCTAATTCATAAAGAATTTAGAAAGATGATTCATTTGTATTATTGTTAGAAAAGCTATATTTATCAATATATTGTTCAGTAAGTATTGAAATGTGTATCTAACACTGATCAATTCATGACTTACTGTTGCAAAAAGTTTAAAATATTATAAGCTCAATATCGAATTTGTTAAACATATTCACTTCATATACGCGATTTAATTAGCGACATTCGCATTTATAATATTCAAAATACTTTTTGCAAACAGTCTTTATTAAAAAGATATTTAATTTTTATTTATAATAATATAGATATGTACGGACTTACCTCCTGATTTACTAGCAGTCTTGAATGCACCCTAATTGTAACTTCCTTTCCTCCGAGTCGATCACGTTCTATCAAACAGCTGGCATAACTATAGGAAAGAAAAAAAGAAAGACATCATATTTCGTACTCGATAAATAAAATCGACAACTGGATTTCAATGACGAAAGTTTTAATATTCTCTTATTAAAATATTTTATCACAATTTTCTCGTGCGCGACATTTCAAAAATTTTTTATGTTGGATCCAACGTTGGTCTAATTATGTTGGAAGATGAAGGAAAAAATTGGAGAGCATATCTTGTTGTTTTAAACGAGCTTGTTACTTTCTTGACTAAAGGAGAAATATAAGAGAGAATCAAATGTAGAATTTACAAAGATGCTGTGTTTGTACCCTCATCACAAAAAAATTATGCAGAGAAACTTCTCTAAAATTAAATTTTAGAATCAAAAAATATAATTCAATCTGAGATTGTCTTTAGTTCAATCTAGTATTAAATTTTGTTCAATCTAATACTAAGTTATCAATTTTGTAAGAAATGTTACAATTATAAAAAGTTAAATTTATTGAAGCTAATTCCTACAACAAAGTCGATAGCGGTCTCTTGGGGGAATAACGAGGGATTTGAATAGAATTAAAAGATGGTAACTTTAAACATGCGAACCGTCGATTCATGAGTTTAACGTTGCGTCGCCTTGACCTGACGACGGCGAATTGCAAGGATAAATGCTGTCTATAAAAAGCCGTCGTTACAAATTCATGCAACCTTCACTACCTCCGCCCTGTCGCTCACAACTACCACGAATGGAGCGATCGAACGCGAACCGCCCTTCGCCCTGTCACCGAGCAGCAACAATGACTTTCGCTTCAGTTTCTGTCTAAAGATACTTGCGATGTAACCCGATAATTGGAAAATATAGATGGTTTGACCTAGAAATTTGGCTCAATTTTGACATTTTGTATTTTATAAATAAACTTACTTGTAAATTTTTATTTAGTAATTTAAATTATTAACATCATATATTTTTTTGACGCACTAAATTTTTATAGATTGTTCTTAGGACCAATAATCTACCTCTAACTCTAATGCTAGCAGAAAATCAGAGTAATATTGATACACTTAAGCGATCAAATAAAAGTGATAATAGCTTCTTGTTATCAATAATTTTGCTATATCCTTTACTACACTTAATGATATAGATTAATTGCTTATTCTTTTTATTATTAATTGATCATAGAAGCTTTTTCATCATTATAAACTATAAGCTTTTTACAAACATTATAAATGACACTTATAATATTTAAATGAACGAAAGCATTGATACATTATTACATTTAAATATTTTTAATCTTACTATAGACAAGTCTTGATATAAAATTAAGCTTGATTATGTTACAAATATACATATTTTTTTTATTTATGTTTGTATGTGCATGTATACACAAAAAAGACTATTCTTGAATTAATTATAATGCACTCATATATAAGCAAAAATATTGTAACCTTGCTTTAAAGATTTTAATCATGATTTGATCGAATTTGTATTGATATAAGAGATTTTTAATTGAACAAGTCTTGAATTGAGTGCAAAGTAATACTTGCATCAAAACAAATTTAATCAAATCAAAACTAATATCTTTGAAGCAAGATTACAATATTTTTGCTTACATATGAGTATATTATGGTTGATTTAAGAATCGTCTTTTTTCTGTGTATTGTTAGAAGTCTGTGACAGTTGTTTGCGAGAAAGAAAATCTGTCAACATTGAATTTCAAGCTGTTGCCTTTTGAAGATACAAAAAGAAATTTGTTTACAATATTCATAAAATATACGTGAATATTTCAAACATTCTCTGTTTTTCCTTTGTACTTTTTTCCCCTTTTGTCAACATCGTAATCATCGTGTAATCTTAACAAACAAAAGAATTAAAAAAATAAAATACATACAAAGTAAAATAAATACAAAGTAAAATCGTACAAAAGAATTAAAACGTATGGCCATTAAAATCGCGTACTAAGTGATGAGCAAAAAATCTCGCCTATAACGAGTTCAGCGGCACTTATCACTGGGAAAGTTTAGTGCACTCTTAGTAAGTCGCGTGCACAGCTGCTTCATGCTGGAACGCGGCGTGACAGACAGAGAACACAATACAACCTGTAAATTATTTTCATGTCCGGCTGCGTGACAGATCAGTAAAATAAGACGTCAATGATTTGAAATACGACGACAAAGATGTACGCGATAAATTTTTCGAAAATTAACACAATGACAACAATGGAATCAGATGTCGATAATGTCGAGTTGTCAAGATGTACGTATTCAACGATGTTATAATACTTTGTTTTATATTCACAAACGCGTGCTCGTGATACATATATCCGTGTATTATTTTTATCTAGAATTTTTCTTCTATCTTATTTTTATTTTTATTCTAGAACTTTTAGCACATAAAGGTAAAAATTGAGCAAAACATGGTAAAATTGAGAAACGTTAAACTTTGAATATATAAAAATGTTTCATTTTTCGATTATATTATGTAATCTTCTCATTTATTCATAAAAGAGAATCTCAAAGTTTTTTCTTAAAATTATTTAATTTTTCAAATCCAAGAGAAATAATTTCTGAAACAGTTTATGCAATCTTAATTATATAACAAAATATAATAAAGTTTCAAGAATTTTCTTGCTTAAAATCACTTCAAGTATCAAAGGAATACTTCTTTTGTACACTTTTCAATTAGAGATATTAAAAATATTCAGCCTCATTATAATCTCTTTGAAGTGTATTGTTAATGCTGTGCACGTGTCGTCCGACAACTTAATAACAATGTGACGCGCGGAAAACTTTGGCTTTTAGAAAAAGAGATATAAATCTTTTTTCGGAAAAAATTTTAAATATATCTACATCGCTTCTCTCAAAGTAACGATGAAGTTTGAAATTGAATTAGATTATTTCTAAATAAATGATTATACTATTATATAATGATTGTACTGATAAGTGATTATGATGAAGTATCATCGGATAAGAGCACAATAGATATTATAAAAATTATTATATTAATATTTGAAATGTGACAATATAAAAATCACTGATTTCATATTCAATCAAATTATATGATAGCAAATGAGAGAATCAAATGATGAGGAAAATTAGTAATTAAAAATATCAGATCTAGGAAGTATAAGAATTCTACTTGTATCTAAAAAAAAAATGACAAAAAGCAATAATATTTCCTCTATTATTGTAAATTATAATGATATTTACTTTCTGTTATCTGCTTTAATTGATCCATGAAAAATATTTACAAATATATATTATCTAAAGGTACACTAAAAAAGAGATATTTTTTGTAAATCAAAATTATTAAATTAAATTTTCTAATAAAAAAACCAAAAAGAATTAAAAATATGCATTTAGTGATAAAATATTCATTAAATAAATACATATTTAAATATAATTATCAAATAAAATTGCAATACATTATAAAGATATATTTTGTATGAATAAAGAAAATGCAATAGATTAATTTTTTGTTCATTATCGATTAATTATTAAAAAAGAAAGAAGAATATCTCAAAGAAGTGGAGTGCAATGAGACAAAAACAATTTTTGCATTTGTGATGTGAAGAAATCTAATTCATTTATATTCAATGACTTGATAAGTTATTGAATGAAGTTATCGGAAATATAATTGTTTCTTCGTCTTTTTCTAAAATCAAATCATTAGCCGTAAAATAAAGAACTTAACGTTTAAGCTTATTTGTAAATAACTAAACCAAAACTAAACAAAAATTATTGTTAGTGCGATAAACCAAGTAAACACATATTATACCATAGAGAGGGGAAGAAAAGATGGGAATAAAAATATAAAAATATAATATACAAGAAAAGTGAGACGCGAGATCAAAGATAATACACACAAGATTTTTCCACACGGAAGCGGGCAAATGGAAGAGTACCTCTCGTGTATATCCGGATGTGTCACGGAACGAAGATGAAAGAAAAGTGCATCAGGCAAGCGGGAGCGAGTAAGGCACGTCGCGCACGAGATCTAACGATCCTTCTTTCCCGGTCGGCAGGTGACTCGCATCCTTCCTCAAGGTGAGGACGAAGGAGAACGCAGGCGGATAACGACGGCGACCCCGTGCTAACCTTCGGGCCTTTGCACGAAGGATCAACGGTGGAGAGCGTGCGGCGCGTGTCCGCGACGCGAGAGTACTGCTTCTCGCAAAAGGTGGAGGCGCCTCCACGCTCTTCGGTATTGATCCACGTGGACGACACTCCTCCTCGTTCGTTCGACCAGCCCCGCCGTCTCTTAACGTTAGCGTCCATCGGTGATCTACTGCCTCCGAAGTCCCGTTGATTCATTGTTCGATCTACCTGCTTAGATCCATTGAGATTTTCTTGACAGGTCGATAATTGTCATTGATACGGTTGGATGAAGAAGGTTTATTTATGAAACGATTAGATGAGCTTGTGGACGCGAGTTGACCAAGCAGTGAATGACCGATTAATGCAGCTGCAGTAGTCGCATACGCGTAAAATATAAATGCTTTCATACATAGTACGGAAATAAAATTAATGAGATGCTTAAACATAAAATACATAAACTTCAAAATTAAAGAAATCTTATTTATCTTTAATACCTTTCAATCCTCATTTTTTTTTCAATTTAGTTATTTTATTATTTTTTTATTATTTAATTATTTGATTTCTTTATAATCTGTGATTATATTATAATTATTTATTACAAAAATTACATATCGTGTTTATTATATTTATTAATATTTAATGTCATATTACATAAATTTAATATTCAATATTTTATATTTTTCTGCTGAACATAAATATTTATAATATGACGTTATTATTATTCTCTTTTGTAATTTCATGTAATGTTTATTAATAAAGAGATTAGGGGCATTATTAATAATTGCTTTTATATAAATATTATATACATGCAGAGAAAATTTTTCTTCCAAGATCAATCTTTTCTTTCTTCTTATGAGTATTGATTTTAGCTATTGAATGCTGATTCAGCTGTAAATGGCTTCTAGCATCCAAATGGCAGTTATATTCTGAAAACACTCTCAATACGCAATTTTGAAGGTTTCTTATTGTCAAAATTTAAATTGTTTTCCTACGTGTATACAGATCTACCTATTTACATCATAAAGTATTCAAAACAAACAGTACGGATAAAGATTACCTTTAAAGTCTATGTTTAGGGGTGGCTCGACAGGATGCTGGCACGGCAGGGAGAAAGGATGTCTGAAGGTCGTTCATTGCCCCGAAAGAGAAAGACAAACTCCCGACTAAAAGCTAATTGCGTTAATCTTTTGTGTTAAAGTTTAATAGACGTTTAATAGACTGTTTACGATTGTAAGCAAATTAAAAAAATTATATTATAAATATATTAATTATATTAAAAATATGGAATCTGTTTATATAAAAATATCTGTTGAAAATATGTAGATACATAAAAAAGTTATATTCTTAAAGAAACGATAGTTTTAATATTTCTCTGTGTTAAAATGTATATTAATATATTATTTGGAATAAGTATATTATCAAATATAAATTTTAAAAAATACATTTTAAAATTACAACATTTTTAAATTAAAACATTATATTATATCTAAAAAATTAATTTTAATTATCTCAACTATGCTAAATAAATAATTCTTTATATTATTAATGTAACAATAATGTTAAATATTTATGTAATAAACAATAAAATACGTTTATTATGCTTCAAACTATTGCTCAAGATGACGATAAGAAATGGTACAAATGTTTTGTATTATTAGATTATAAGGAATTTTCTCTCTTTTGTTGAATACTTTTTTATATGAGTAAACTTCTCTAATTCCAAAAATAAAGAAAGTGAAGAAAGTTAATTTTGACAAAAACAATTCTTCTAATAGAAAAGTATATTATATATCTAGTACGATATAGGATAACGAAAATTTAACTTGAAGCTGCTTTCAAAAGTTAGGATTGAACGAAAGATAGAAAATTCTACTTCCTATAATGCAAACCGTTCTTCAATTCCTGACATGATATATAATACTCGCGAAGAAGCGTTTAAGATCGAATTGGTTATTACTTGATGTCCATCAAGAAATGAGTCTATTATGTTGAAAACTAGTTCAGATTCACTCAAGTGCTCTTCCTAAATATTCTCTTTGTGAAGAAAATGATGAAAGTTGTAGATTACATCGATCCAATGCATGATTATAAATAGTGTTGACCCGTGCTTTATTTATGAATTAATTTCACTGTTCCCAATTAGTAGCATCAAAAGGAATTCTAAAATAGTAAACTAAATTTTTAAAAGTTTCTTTAAAAATTATATTGCTATAATCGAGAAAAAAATTAAGGAATTAATAGAGAAAAAATTAAATAAATTAATATTAATTTAATATGATTTAATTTTTATTTCGCTTTATTATAGATTTACACAACAGATTGCTGTTATCAATCTTAAACTATATATTCTAGTAAGCCTGCATTCATGATGCCTGATTTGCTCGATTTCTGTCATGAAATTGCCTCAATATAGATTCTACGTAGGACATAGTTTAATGCAGTCAAACCAATTTGCTGCAATATACTGATCAAATTGATTGGTAAATAACTGCACATGCTGCTAACTTCTTACTCGTTGCATACTTATTTATAATATTCTTTGTTTCTATGAATCTCATTTATATTATATATATAATGTATATATCTGCTATTAATTACAAATATAAAAGAACAAATTTTAAACTAAAAGAAAATATAAATTTAGTACACAATAAATATTCAAAAAATTGTAAATTATGTGTATACATGTTCTCCTTATATGTAATTATTTTATAGATATAAACAATCTAAAATATAATCCACATTATAGAATTATAATTGTGTATCTCACACATTGATATATGTATTATATAAAGTATAATAAGTAAATGACCAACAGTTAACATTGCTTTTTCCTGTATTTGAGATAAGAATTTTCAATCTGTAGTATAAATTTCTCGTATCACAGTAACCGAATGTTGATAACTTATCCATTTGAGACTTTTTGATGTATCGATATAGCAGATTCCTGCACAGTGATGTTCAGTTGTTCTAGATGTAATGTATATTAAATTAATTTGTTTTCATGTTGTAAATTTTTACATTAATTAAAAATTATTCTTTATTTATTATGAAATTTAGTTATTAATTTACATTTTTGTCTTTTTATCATGTTTTTATTCGCATTTTAACTATAATAGGCTTCACCGATTAAATTTTCAATAACTCCAGTAGATGGTAGTGTCATACTGACAAATGACAATGAAAAAAAAATAATTTTCATTGTAATCAAATTATTGTATAAGAGAAATTTACACAGTTAAAAAATGTATAATATAAGGTATACAATATATAGCAATAGAATAGAATAATAAATTTTATATATTTTGTTTAATTTTTTAAATTTATATATTGTATATTTTCTTTGGTAATTTATTTATATATTTTATACATATATATATATATACATATATATCTACAGATACATAT